AGTATAGTAGCTGTCTCCAAGTATTGTGGCAGCCAAGGCAAGGAGGGTGAGTGAGGTGCAAGTTATACCTGCAACGGTGACCGAGAACCGTAACAATGGCAAATATGCATAAACTACTCTCATTAGGTGGACGAACAATACAAAGTAGGAGCGCGTTTTATATTCAAATCCATCTTTGATTGTACCGTTGTTCATCTCATGCCGTCCGACGCAGCCTCTGTCATCTTTCACAGTAATATTGCCAAAATCCAACTTCGATTGTACAGACGCAGCCTCTGTCGTCTTTCACAGTATTATTGTCAAATAAAAACATAAAAAAAGTTAAATTAGTGTTCCTACTTTGTATTGTTCGATACTAACTAAAGATAAATTGGGCTTTGATTGTACCGACGCAGCCTCTTCCGTTGCAAGATAAATTGGGCTTTGATACTAACTAAAGACTATGCAATTAAGATAAAATAGGTTCCGATGCCAATAGACAAATGTAGGAGATGGACAAATGGATGAGTGACTGATTGAGATGCGGAGGGAGTAAAAGAATTTCTCGACTAACATACACCTATATAAGAATTTTCAAGTATAAGATTTTATATATACATCAAGGTTTGGCACACTATAACATGTCGCTAACAGATAATATGTCGACTACAAGATTACTAGTGGTTAGTCTAAGATGGATACCACTCGGTGGTATAAGACAGTATAATACAAACTCTAAAATCAAAAAATAATTAAGAGTAGACACTGATCATAACCTCGACTGTCAATATACCAAATTATAAACCTCGAGACACATTAGTAACATGTCTGAAAATTTTCTCAATTTTAATTAGTAATTGGATGCACTGAAATATTCTAAAAAGACTAGAATGAGCTCAAGAAACTCGCACGAACATGCCTCTGCCTCAGTTGCAAATGTCAAGAATTTTAAATATTTCTAAATTATTTATTTATAAATAGATGAATATATCCTTATAGCTTTGTTCCAATAAAATTTTTTTACTCCTACCTATAATTTATTTTTCTCCTTTTTCATATTCTTCTTCTTCTTCTATTTCCTCTTCCTTCTCATTTTAATTATCAAAGGTGCTGTAAAATGATGAAAAAATAAAAATAAATGATGAAACAAGATGAACTTAATATCGAAGAAAAAGATATGAGAAATAATTTTTTATGTTTATTATAATAAGTGGATATTTCTAAGATTATGTATATTATGTAATAAACACCACCTTTTTGATTCATTATATTAACCTAGAAGATATCTGTCTTTATAAATTACCAATCATATTTCGTACCTTTACAAATTGTCTAGTAAAATGCATCGGAGAGTTTGACATTAGTAAGATGCACAAGCGAGAGAAAAATATAAAAGTAGGAACGGAATTATAGAAGTTGTGAATAGTATAATATTATTTTATTATTTTTTAAGGGGTTATAAATAGTAAGAGATTGGGAATAGTAAGAATAAGGTTTTAAATAGTAAGCCCCAAAACATTACATATATATATATATATATATATATATATATATATATATATATATATATATG